CAATTTACATTACAAATTAATTCTGGAAGCAAATTTCAACACTAAATGCACATTAACAGAAATATGAGGATTTATAGTATGCATGAAAAATAACACTAATCCCTAATAATGTGTGCTACGTGATTATACAGTAGACATCTTATTGGCAGCCATATGCATTCTAAATATAAAGAAACGTATGAATTGGTTTTTGAATGGGATACAGTGAAGGGATATTGTTAACAGAATATTACTGGAGACAAATTAAATTATACTGACTAGCAATAAAATGTGGTTTTAAGTAACAGAAATGTTTGGCTTATTTATGTTCTAGAAAACTCTGCCGATGCAAGAGCATCCAAAATCTCTCTCTCCCATATGGGTGAAGTATCTCATGAATGCCCTTCATTTAGCTCTTCTATGGCATTAACACTTGAAACATGGTGATCTGCATGTGTCCTTCCTATCACACCCTCTGCTGTGTGAGAGTTCAGGGGATTACGTTTGCTTGTTCTACTTTCACAGCACTGCTCCGAAGCTGAACCTGACTAGTCTCCTAGTAAATTAAAGTGTTAAATTACTGAGTGTCATGAAAAATGTAGAGACGATTAGGCAACCCTTGTGCTTTCCTGATCCCAATTCTTTGTTCAGGAAACAGACACAAAAACATTAATTTATTATGCAAACATGATTCATGACCCAGAAGTAAAAATACAAACTTAGTGCAGGCAAAGTAGAGACAACAACATTAATTTGTACTGGTGAATATGAGGGACACTCGTGGGAGAGCTGAGGTATAAACTGAGACTTACAGGCGTAGTACTTGATGGGCAGACCAAGGCGACGCAGTTAGCCAGGCTGAGGCACGATCCTCCTTTATGTAGGTGGTGTATGTGAAGTAACTCATGGGGAAAAAAGTTGAGATGACACAAACTTATTCAACAAGTTACTTGATAACACTGAATCAAAGGCATTTATAAGGACCACAGTAGTGACATAGAAGTTAACAAATTTTCATTTGAAAGGGCAGAGCAGATGGAAGGGGAGCCTTCTGTTTTTTTAAAAATTTATTTATCTAATTTTTTTTTTAAATTTTAATACAGGGTCTACATGATCTCACTACTTAGATCAGACTTAAAGTGATCCGCCTTTGTTCAGCCTCCCAAGAGCTGGGATTACAGGAGTGCACCATAGGCCCAGTCTCAGTTGCCATCTCATTGTGCCCCAGGGGCAGGGCTGGCACAGCATGGCACTCTGAGGATTGAATTTTGGCCACTGCCTCTGCCTAAGCAGGTGCATTAATTCGCTGAGCTATTTGGCTAGCCCTTTCAGACTTGTAATGACACTGCTGTCTCAGCCTCCCCAGCACTGGGATTGCAGGCATACACCACCACGCCCAGTTTCAGTGGCTGGCTTGGTGCTTGCAGCCAGCACAGCACGACATGTGGTCCTGGGGATCGAATTTGGGTCTTTGCACTTGCTAGGTAGGCACTTAGACCTTTGAGCTATCTCCTCAACCCAGAAAGCCGTCTTCTAGGCAGTGATTTGTAGGGGAAGAACTGAAGAATGGATAGCTATTACCTGGGGAAACATTGCCTTGTATGCAGAGACGTAGAAATGAGTATAAACATGCCGGGCTCTGAAATTCAAGGTGGTAACCATGAATGCAACATACAGTGTGAGGGTGGGAGTGGTGGCCCATGAAGCCGGGAAGGTTACGAATGGGTTGTACTGAGAAAGACTATTCATGTTCTGCTGTAAAATCAGCCTGCATTCTAAAGACAGCGAAGCATCCCTGACAGGAGATTTGTGTTTTGGAAAGGTCACTTGAGAAATTTTAGGAAAGTAGATCCAACTAAACATGTTTACAGCAATTGGAGGACTGCTTCAACAATTTGGGCAAACAAATGAGGAAGGCCCAAAATGAGGAAGATGACTTAAGACAATGAGGAAGATGACTTAAGACAATGAAGCTCAGTAGAAAAAAACTGAAAAATGTTCAGACAATTGAATTACTCAGCATATTCTGTGGATAAGTCTAGAGTAACATCTAGGTTCTGATCAGGAACATGATCGAAAGAAGATGATGGTATTCGTGGTGTCATAGAAATACAGAGTTTTATTGCTGAAATAAATTTAGTGGTTACTTTTTATCTTTTCAAACAGTAGGTTCTCATTTCTGAGCCATTAATTTTATCTCTTACTTTCTGTATGTCATCACCATGTAGTTCTTAGAGAAGGAGGTGTTCGTGTGTTTTATATTCCCTAAGCTACTTCATTTTAAGAATAGTAACCTGATTTTTTATGCAAGAAGGAAGTTTTCGGCTGAGTGTGAAATCTGTTCTTTCAGGTCCTTTTGGAGTTGGCATTATATTCAGTCACTGAAGGATGAGGTAGAAGCCTGAGGTCCAATGATTTTTTGTTATTTTACGAGTTTGTTTTTATTAATAAATCCTCAATGATATTCATTTCTACTGCCCACAAAATTTGGTACTACTGTCAGAATATTTCTGTGGTTGATACATTTCTGACAACATATACCTTTTTTTGATCTCAGAATTAAGAATTATGAAATTTCTCTTCTAGTGTATCTTTGCATATTTTTTCCGTGTGTTTTGCTATGTCCCTAATGACTTATTTGTTAAGTCTACTTTGTCCTTTTTCATCTTTGTATGATGCCCAAATCTAATTGTAGAAAGATAATTGTGGTAGCAGTGCAATAAGTGGCTTACAGTGCAGGTAAGAGAAGCAGGCAGTTAAACAGGAAGCTGCCAAAATAGGCCAGGGACAGGACAGTACAATGTGGAGAGAGGCATCGTCAGGGCACTGAGAAAGGGATGTGGATTCATAATTTTGTCTCACAGCTAATAGTTTTGGAAAATTATTGAACAAGTAGATGAAAATTATTGAACAAGTAGATGTCTAAACATAGAATAAAATAATATTCTAATAGTTTTGGTTGTAGTATATGGAAAAGTATTGGAATTGTAACTAAAAGAGAACTTCGGACAAAAAATAGAATTTGGGATGAAATTAATGAATTTACATATAGACCTGTTGAGTTTGAAGGTGTTTTATAAATAATTAAAAAGATTTTAGATCTTTGAACTGTTATCCTCCTGCTTGAAAGCAGGAGTTAAAGGCTTGGCGTAAGCAGGCAGCATACTGTGAACAAAGTGACACTAGAGAAAAGGGACATGGATATGACAGGTACAGGATGATTCGGTGGGACACTGGGTAAGCCTGGCGATCGCTTCCTATGGATGGGTGCATAAATATCTCTTATTACCAAATAATTAAACAGCGAAAAGTCATGGATTATTTGGAAATGATCCCGATATTGCTTTCAGAGTAAAACTATTTTATAGACTTCTGGGACTATCGACATTATCTGTCAGACATAATGTCTCAATTACTCAATAGAATGTACATTTATCATGGTGGAAACAAAATGAATGATAATGATGATATTCTGAATATAAAATAATTTGAAGTTCTAAAGTTAAAAAGACCATGTTAGCAGTTGTCTCGTGAAAAATCAGAAATATTTTCAGTTTTTATAGTTTAATATTGATTTCACTTTCACTTGGTTAAAACCCTTCTGTAAAGCAATGAGGAAATAGAAATCTAAATAAAGATTACACTCATGTACCTATAACTGAGTCTGAGTAGATGACTAGATTTATGTAACAGGATACTATGGAGCTCTCCTACAAAAAGATTAGCCATGGTTGATGAGGTAGTCCAATAGTTGCTAAATTGTGTTTTACATTGATGCATTTTCTATAAGAGCAGGAATTTATGTTTTATACTTACAGTTAACTTTAGGGTTACTTTGTGGTTCAGAACTCTAGAGTGGTAAATTATTAGTTTTAATGATGAGAAAAGGCACAGAGACAAGAGCTAATTCCTGGTAATGGCGATAACCAACATTCTTTAACAGAACTTGTTAGCAATTATTGTAGGGCTTGTTCTAAGGAAACTCCTTGCTGATCTATGTTATTAACTTGCATCTGATATTTTTCCAAAGCTATAAATATAACCCTAGGAAATAACTAAGCATTTAGAGAGCCTGGCTTATAATAAATGATATTATAGGAGAGTATAAACTTTCAAAACAGAACCAGATGGTACCAAAGTTTTTGGTTTGCTCTACTGAATCTTGGCTTTCAGGCTCTGTGGTCTCAGAATCAGCCTCTTTAGTCTCCTGAGCCATTTTGAATTATGAAGGTTGCCCAGGAGGCATTAGACTCAGAAAGCTCTGGTAAGTTGTCATTGTGCCACACCCAGGTGGGTTCACTCAGTATTTGAGATGAGCAACAGACAGAGTCATCATAGGAAGTTAAAGTAATGATCAAAAGCTTGCATTCTAAATTTATATATGATCATAATAATTAAGAAAGGTAAACACACCATATTTATGTGAATAAAGGAAAAACATCTTGGTGTCCTAATCCATGAGATGTTGGGTTGGGAATGATTTCCATTAAGTAATAAGTTAGTATTATATTTTTGGGGGATAGACCTTAACATCAAAATTATTTAAAATATATTTGCTCTCCTATTCTAGAATGTGTGTCTTTTATTATCAAAAGGAATTTAACATTAAAAACCCCTCCATTTGTTTCCTAAGGCTTAGCTTTTCAAGATAGCCTGTTATTAGGAATCACTCAAGCTTGGTTTCTATAAAAATGATACAGGCAATGAAAAAACGTTTTTCCTTTTTATTTTATTTATTTTTATTTATTCATTTTAATGAGAAAAAAGATAAAATAGCAGTGAAGCAGTTTCAAAACAGGTTAGTAGGACAGTTACAATAATTAATACATTGCATATTGTTGTCTTCGTAGTAGTCATTCAGAGGACTAGATACAGGAAAAACATTTTAAATTTAAAAATACCTTTAGAAATATTTGTTTCAAGCTGGCCATGGAGATGAATACCTGTAATCCCAGCACTTGGGAGGCTGATCCAGGAGAATCTCCATGTGTTCAAAGCCAGAATGTGCTACACAGTGAGACCCTATTTAAAAAACAAAAGTTTCAAATTTCCCTGGGGAGAAAAAAAGTCTATACTCTCAACTTCCAAGATTTAATGCTGTTTGTAGATTGCTGAGTAGTTTGTGTTTCATTTGTTGATGAAATTACATTATATTTGCAAGATGTTTTCAAGTGATGACGCTTTAAAAGTATTCTTTTAAACAATTATAAGAAGTCTTGAGACAGATGCAAATCAGCATGAAAAACAAATTCATGAAAGTTATTTAGTGGAAAAGAAAACATTTAAATTTTGTTAGTTTACTACTTGATAAGTGAATAATTTGTATTTAGAAATATAACTTTTACCTTTTCAGAAATTAGTTGCCTTTAACATTTTTTTATCACTGAGTTTAGAAATGCCAAGAACTACAGCGTCTTACTGCAATTATAATTTGAAATGATGAGCAAAGTACAGCTTTGAAATTCCAACTAGAAGAGAATGAGTTTCTTCCAGATTTTAAAAAATGTTCCCATGAACAAAGTTGGCCCTGACTTTTTAGCTTTCACAATAAGTGGCCCCTTGTAAATAAAATTATAATACTCTTCATGGTGGTTGATCTAAAAGTAGCTTTGGCAATACTGTTTGATTCAGGCATTTCAAGATGAAGCTTTGAGAGCCTTGTATATAATAATAAACATTAGTGGGTTTTCTGCAGTCCTAGAAAACAATACTGTTAAGCTTGACAAATATCTGGAAACAATTTCTTTTAATGCTTTAAATTAAATGAGAATGTTGTAGGACATAGTAGTATAGCATACACATCAACTGTTTATAGGTTTTAAATACAGAGATTGTTGGAGATTGAATTAAAGGTTGGAAGTACCCAGAAATAAAAGGAGGGACATTTCACACTTGTACTGCTGAGTGTAAAGCCAATATTTGATTCCATAACTCCTCAGCTTCTGTTTTCTGTGTTTCTTGCACAATATATTTTTGCTGTGAGATTTGGACCCAAAAGTGTTGAACAATAAGATTGTGTGGAACTGAGCGATCACAGAGAAAGCTAATACCAAAGAACCCACATCTTCTGTTTCTCTTCTCTTTTAGGGTATATGGGTCAGTACATATATATTTACAATATGCTTCGCTGCCAATGTGGGACTGCTGTTTGGTGTTGTCTGTACCATAGCTATAGTGATAGGACGCTTCCCAAGGTAAAACTTTATTAAAACACTCTATCACTCAACAGCAAAATAGATGGTGTTACTGTTTACTTTTATTTTTATATAAGTTATGGTACAACAATCTCATGTTTTAGGTGCTACCAGAGAATTAAAGAGAGATAAGGGAATATTTTGCCTACCTATGATATAGAATAATGTTGGCCTTAACAAAGAGAAATATCAACATTATAAAATAAGTATGTGTTGCTTTCTATCACTATAAGTAATAATTGCCTGAAATAAAGGAATTTAAAAAGAAGCAAAGTTTATTTTGGCTTATGGTTTGAGAGGCTTCAGTCCATGGTCAGCAGGGCCCTGCTGCTTTGGGCTTGTGGCTAAGTGGAGCATCGTGTTGGAGGGAGGCTACTGACCTCATGGCAACTGGGAGAGAAGGAGAGCATAGAAGAGATTAGGTCTCCAGGAGCTTCTTCAAATCTACTCTCAACTAGGCATTTCACCACCTACACATAGCACCAAAACTTGGAAACCACATCTTTGACACAATGGCCTGTGTAGGACATCTGATGTCTAAACTACGATAAATATATAGTCTATTGAAAGGAATATATCCTTTCACCATGTAACGTATATCTAAACCACAATAAATAAGTAAAGTACATTAAAATAAATATATCCTTTCACCATATACTGTATCATAGAGATTTTTTTAAGTGAAGGGATATAGTGTTCAATGCCACACAAACCCTTTAGTTACATTAACAATTGGGAAAATGAAGTAACTTCAAAAATTTATTTCTCAGAAAATCATGATTACTACTTGTATAATATAGATGTATAATGTATAATATATGTGATATATCATGTATAAATATAGTATTTTCTAGATAATTTATTGAGGAACAGATACATTTTGTATTTTTATTGAACATCTAAAAATTATTTCTCTATCTTAATTCTTTTTGTGCTTTCACAGTGTTCATCTAGTAGTGATTCTATCCATATCTCATCCTTCTCTTGAAGTTATTTGTGAAGTAATATGTTCTCTAAAATGCTCAGATTTATCTCTATATTCTCCTTTGATATTACCTAAATATGGCAGGTTCATTTTTATCTTGTTTCATCTTGTCTTTGATTCCTTGTTTCTTTCTTTTCCTCCAAAACAAGATTTTATCAAATACTACATACTTTCTAGCCTTTTATTTCTTATAATTCTTTACCAATCCACCTCTTGCAGCTTGGAGATTTGGGGCTCTAGGAACCAAAATGAGGTAAATTACACTTATTAATCTCTAGTTAGATGGCTCTTTTGTTACCCTCTATTCCTGAGTGTCCCAGAAATACATAGATTTACTAATCTTTTATGAGCAAATGGGTTATGAGTTCTAAACTATTCAGACATTTCCAATTATTAAGATAAAATATGTCTCAGCCCCTTTGTGTCTTCACTGCTAATGTGCTAAGAAATGACTTACTTTTTTTTTAATTTGCCTTAACTTTAGAGCAAAGACTTTAAGTATTAGAAACATGAAAGAAATGGAATTTAAAGTGAAGACAGAAACAGATGATGTAAGTTTAGTTTCTTTTTTCCTTTGCACAATGATTAATAATTTTTGTCGGTGTAGTAGTTTTAAAATGTCAAAGAAAACATAAATTATGTTATGGAGAATATTGCTATGTTTAGCATGAACCTCCAATGTATATATTGAGTGCCACACATGAGATTGTGGGCATACAACAAATGAGTAAAACAGAAGAAAATTTCCTTCCATTTGATATTCTGATAAGATCAGAACATGGTCCAAAGAACTGCAGTTCATACTAGAATCATGGCCCACATTCATCCAAGCATGTTTAAAACTCTTTTCAATTACTAAATTATGTAAAGTCATCCAGTCAAATTGATAATCTTTTCCGAATTAAGTGATACGTAAAGTTAGGAAACAGGGAAGAGAATAAACTAGTGAAAAAGGTTGTATCATTAGTAGAGGGTAATTAAGTCCAATGGTTCTAAAATATTAAAATGATTGGATATTTACCCAGTAAACATTTTTAAATCAGCAACTTACATAAATTTTCTTGCTATACCATGTTAAGGAGATCCAATTTGTAGCGTTTGAATTCTAGGTTTTTATTCTAAGTGATAACAAAAACAGTTAAAAGTGAAGGGAAAAATATTCACCCATTTATGCAAATTAAAATAGAAAGTATCTTCTCTTTGA